ATGTTCTTTTTGGTGCTTGATGATGTACATCAAATGCCAAATGGCAATTTTTTGTTTTAGCCACTTGTGGTAATCATAAAGTTTACAAGAGGAACGAATACATTCACTTACCAAAAAAAAAACACACTCGTACATTTGTCAGCTAAAAAGGCTTTAATTTCAAGCCTCGAAAAATAACAGGATCATCGCGTTATCATGAATCAGTGAGTTTACACTTACATTCACGTATTGATTTTAGGTTGTTGGGTTGAGGCCGGAGTAGTAAGAGACCATGAGATGGGCTATACATGATTTTAAGGTGTGTTTGTGATGACTTTTCAGAAGTATTTTTAGAACTTATAATTTTTTATAAGCACTTTAAAAAAAAATAGGTTTGCAACAACTTATTTTAATTACTTTCTATTAAGTTAAAAATATTTTAACCACTTAAATAAGTTAAAGTAAAAAAAAAGTAACTTTTAGTTTCTTAAAATTAATTCTCCACAAAATATTTCACCGCCGCCACCACTGTCACCCCACCACCATAACCGTCACCCACCACCACTACCCATCGCCGCTATCACCACCATCACCACCACTACACCATCACCATCGGCCACCACCACTGTTGTCACCATTGCCACCCTATTGTTGTTGCCAGCCACTACCACCACCACCTCACCACCATCGCCCATCACCACAACCACCATTGCCTACCACCGCCACCATCACCACTTACTTTTTGATAAAGTATTTTTTATGTAAGTATTTTTTTTGGTTTGAATATCCAAACGGTATTTATTAATGAAAATATTATTTTATAAAAACACATTTGAGAAATACTTTTTTAAAATTTAATAAGTCGATCACAAAAGCAACCTTAATGTTTGGTGAATGAGTTACCATTTTTCTGGTGCAGGGTTTTTACAAGTATGCCTTATTAGCAAAGTACTGTGTCTCCATTAGGGCATTATTGGATCACCCATAATCCATAGTGGTACATTTTTGTCTGTCAATACATCCATTCAAAAGAATGATAAATGATAAGATACGCAGCGATCCATTTCTGCAATGGAAGGCTACTTCTCTGTGCTAAGAATTCTTGTAACTCTGTATCCAGAAGAAGGAAGGAAATTAGGGGTGTCAAAACATGTCGTGTTTGGTTAATCATGTTAGGTCTATTTCGAGTTCATGTCCAAAAATCTCAAATTCGAACCTGTCACATTTAAGTAATCGTGTCGAGTTGTCTAAACCCTAATTTGATCTAGTCATTAAATAGATTACCTGAACCTAACATATTTAACACGTTTAATATATGGGTAGTGTTTGAGTTAACACACGTAACACGACCTGTTTAACCTATTTCACACTAATGTATATGTACCTTTTTCACAAATCATACACCATTCAATAATCATCCAAACTCCAAATTTTTAAATAATAAGCAAACTATGTTGCCATAATAAAACAAAGAGAGAATTACACTCAAACTCCCTAAGATTTGTCACTTAATCACTCAGACTCTCTGACATTTAAAATATTACGCACAGACCCCTTAAGGTTTATACGCACATAACATTTAGACCATTGCTGTAAATATATCTGTTAATAAATTACTCTTAAACCCCTTGAAGTTTGTAAGTATATAATACTTAGACCCCTTAATTTAAATATTATACTTAGACTAAAAATACTTCAATCAATGATAGAATATCAAATATTTTAATTTTTACAACCAAAATTCATGTTCTATTATATCATTTATTGAAATAAAATTAAAAATAAAAATTTAATTTTTTCTTAAAAAATCATAATTAGTATACAAGTATATTATCTATTGGAATAAAACTAAAAAAATCAAACAAAGGGTCTAAGTCATTTATAATAGAACATAAATTTTACATCCAAAATTCATGTTCTATTATGTCATTTTTTGAAATAAAATCAGATTTTTTTTAAAAAAAAAAAATCATAATTAGTATATAATTATATTATCTATAAGAATAAAACTAAAATATTAAATAAGGGGTCAAACTGTAATTGACACAATATCTTTTAGCTTTAATTGATGTAGTTTGGTATTTTAATTTGGCCATTTAAATTACCAAATTAAATTCCAATATACAATATAATTGTATACTAATTATAATTTTTTAAGAAAAAATGGAATTTTTATTTTTGATTTTATTTTAATAAATTGTGCGTGCTAGATCTTACACAATATAAAAATGAGAACAGATATCTCCCTTGGTGAACTCGAGTGAGTCAGTCGAATGGTCAACCCCGCTGCTTGGAACAGCCTGTGAGGTCCGGTGGTAACCTGGAACGGGAATGGGAGACCCTCGTGGATCAAAGGAACGATCTAGTAAGGCTGAAGAAAGGTTCCTGGAACAAAAAAGAACAAGTTAGAAGGGCGCCGGAGTGTTTTCCGGCGTATCCCCTCCGACGATCAAGTCAGTCTTTGAGAGAGAGAGGAAGAAGAAAACACTGAGTATGTATTGTAGCAAAATTTTTTTTGTTGCATACCATCTTGCCTTTTGCGAGGAGTATTTATACCTCAAAAACTCATGATTGCTGTCAGTGTAGTCAGTAGGTGATCATTAGGCACAGGCAGTGTGCGCACTGATTCTGATGAGGAATGTCTTCTCTTTTAACTGCTCGGGATCCCGAGCAATCAATACTGTGTCATCGGGCTGCCGACTGTTCAATGAGCTCCTCTCGGGGAGGACGCAATAAATGTCCAGCCTTAGAGACATTTATTGCCTTTCAATTCTGAGCCTTACCGCATTGAATGCAGTCTCATCAAGGGAATGACGTAATTAAATGCTTGCTTTCCCAAGTCGTGTGTCAGCAAGGGCATGCGGTCTTTCTGTCTCGGATGTGACACAATATGCCACGCGTCCATTCCCCATTGGCTGTGGCCTCTGCCTTCCTATGCCTTCTGACACCAATTGTGTAAGACGAGGTCATGATAGCTAATCTAGTCTAGCCTAGCCTAGGCTAGTGACATGTGCATTAATAACCTCTGTTGGAGCAAAGAATTTCATCCTGGATGAGGGGGGTACATCTTGGTACCGAGAAAAAGGAACATCTCGGAGCCAAGAGGGAGAGCCTAGCGACCGATGTACCATATCAGACAGAGGGTACGTGTCGGTACATAAAAACGTACTGGATGCTACTCGATCCCCATAATCAGCACCTCGGGGGGATAGGGGACTTTGGGGACTTTGTGACCCGATGGGTACGTGATCTCGATAACAAAGATCAGTGACACCGAGGACACGTGTCTTCATCTTAGAATATTCCGGAAATGTCCCATCATAAATTATACAATAGAACATGAATTTTAATTATAAAATTTAAAATATTTGATATTTTATTTTTGATTGAAGTATTTTTTATCTAAGTATAACATTTTAAATTTAAGGAGACTGTTTGGTATGCAGGTTTTTGGGGGGGGGGGGGGGGGGGGTTGGATTGTGGGTTGGGAAATAAACCCTTTAAACCCATATTTGGTAACTCATGTTTAGCCTAAGGTTTGGAAACCCAGCCCGTTGGATGGCCCAGTTATAAAACCCACATACTTGATTTCATGAAACCCAGGAGCGTTTCATATGTAGGTTAAAGGGTTTAATATTCAAATAACATTTATACCCTCATACATTTTATATATTATATATATATACAAATTAGTTAAGGGATAAAATAATCATTTATATACAAATATATTATCATAATAATCATATATCCCTGTGCATACCAAACATAGGTATGGACAACATTGAATGTTGAATCTCATCTTTGAATCTCATCTTTGGGTCAAACCCGGGTTTAAAGAAGTCAATCCAAACTCCTCCCATAAAACATATCAAACAGGCCCAAGAGATATAAGTAATATATGTTTACAAACTTTAAAAAGTCTAGGTATAATTTATTAACAGATATATTTAAAGTAAGGGTCTAAGTGTGACGCGCATATAAACTTTAATGGTTATGTGTGTAATATTTTAAATATCAGGGGATTTGAATGATTAAGTGATAAACTTCAAGTGGTATGAATGTAAGGGACTCTTTGATTGGTTTTTTTGGAGGGGTTTGGATTGGTTTGTCCAAATCCTTTTAAACTCAAACTCCTCTTTACAAAGATGAGATTCAACATTCAATCTGGTATATACCCATGTTTGGTATGCGCACGGATATATCACTATTATGATAATATATTTGTATTTAAATGATTATTGTGTCTCTTAACCAATCTAATCCAAACTCATATATGGGATATATGAGGGTATAAATGTCATCTACATGTTCAACCCTTTAACCCACATATGAAATTCATTCCCTCACCGGGTTTCATAAAACTTATAAACTTGGGTTTAATTTCCGGGCTTAAAGCGGGCTGGATTTCAAACACTAGGCTAGCTATATATTTGTCAAACATGGGTTTCCTGCGTTTTGTTCCCCCAACCCATATTCCAAAACCCTCCCCAAACCCATGTATCAAACAGGCCTAATTGGCTTTGTTGTGTGGCTTGTGCCTTTGTGTAAGTGAAGAACAGGAACAGCGGCTGTAAAGTGAAGTGGAAATGAAATGAGTTTAGGGTTAAGATTTTTTTTGCTTTTATATACTTGGATAAACGGTTAAACAGGTCTATAACGAGTTAAGTTGTACTCGAGTTTGAATCAGATCAACCCATTTAACATATATGGGTTAATCATGTCAAAGTCGGGTTAACCCGATTCGCATTTTTTTCGGTTCCAAGTGTGTTGACTCATTTTTTCTGGCCGACCCATTTAATTTAATATCTAACCTATTAATTTCGTATTCGATTTGTATCTTATTAACGTGTCGGTCCGAAAATTTACACCCTCGAAACAGACCAAAAGAACAACTGTCCAGCAAGGAAAGTTTAGCGGACTATTCATCAACTAGATGGTTGAACTGAAGTCAGGCCAAGGAATACATGATCATCTAAGTAAATTACACACTATGCGAATTCATGCGCCTTGTCTAATGTATTGCTGAATTTTGATGGACTCATAACAGATGCATAATCCTTGAACAAAGCTAAATGTTGAACCCAAGTTTTTTTTAAAGCAATTTGTTTGTATTTTTCATGTCACAACTGAAAATACTGGCTGTTAGTACATCCGAAAAGTAGGTTACATGTACAAGAACCTAACTAGAAAACGGAGCATACAAGTATTATTGGCTATGTAATGGCAATACTCTGTTCATGGGGTGGCCAATATACGCCTTCCCTTGTGCAGGGGAGAGGAGCCGGTTGGGCGATGAAGGTAGGATACCTCTGCCCTGGCATGAATACTGAGATAGTGGATACATATGACATTGATACCTGTCACAAAGATTACCAAAATAACATTGGTCATGTTAAGTATACGTTTTTGTTTCACTGTTTTTTTAGTGTGTCTGTATATGAATTTCTGTTTTCCCATTTTTTATGGCCTCTTACTATCAAAATTCTCTTCAGTCAATACCAATATTTTGAGTGCAAATTACAACATATCCTTTCAAGAACGAGAATGGTCATTTCAGTTTGAAGCTAGGAAGCACAGATATAGATACGACGATACAAATACAGCGATACGACAAAACCCCCAAAAATAGGATACGGTATGGCCAGGATACGTCTATAAATATATATATATATATATATATATATATATATATATATATATATATATATATATATATATTTTATATTTACTATTATGTAATGACTTGATAGCTATAATCTTTAGTGATTCTTTAATAATAATAAACAACATTAACAATTTTTTATTTTCAAAAGGTTACTTATCTTCTCACTATGGTACATCTACAAAGTAAACGTGATTAATTAAAGGAATAAGAACCAATATTTAAGTATGATGTTTGCTTTAGAAGTATTTGTTGCTAAGATTATAGAGTAATCAACTCATTTAAAGACTTTGGATATATGGTAACGGATAATACTTAGAATACACACGTGTCTTTTAAGTCATATCAATTTTTGTTAATGTATTGCATTGTGTGTGAAATCAAAAGGAATAGGTAAAAATTCAAACTAAAATTTACAAGTAACTTGTTTACATATAGAAGTATCCACAACGTATCCATATATTTTATTTATTATTAGATATATTTGGTGTGTATCCGATATATATCCGACGAGTATCGTATCCGATACGAATACGTTGACCATAATGAAGTATCCGTGTTTGATTTGAAGGGTTGTGGAAAAAAAGATGCTTGGCAGGATGAAAATGAGGTGAAAAGACAAATAGGTGTGAACTTGACTTCTATCTGTTCTGTACTTTGAATGAAAATTTCAAAGAGATTGTGAACTTCAACCTTGTGGAAGTTTATCATAAGAAATAAAGTTGAGGGACTTACTGTTTGTGGATTACCAAGTTTCTGCATTGTTCCTGATTCCATGGGGCTGTTGGTGTCATCTTGAGGTGAGGAGAAAGAAGGATTTGGCCTAAACAAATGCTCAAAGATGGCCATTATAAGAAACATTGATATTAACAATGCTGTAGCGACAAAGCCAATAGAAATGGCGTTCATGGATGTGCCAGACTTCTTCCAGGGTGCTTCGTCCCAATTGCCTCCTGTTTCGGATGGGCTAGGGTCTGAAGTAGTATACATGTTCCATGGCTTTGATCCTCCGGAATTCAACTTGTTCATTTTGTGCTCTGCTCATTTGTGGATGGACATTAACCCTGCAGGGAAAAAACGGTTAGTATAGACCATTTCTCAATTTGTGCATGTCATCTTTGCGCAGGAGTCATGCTAATCTTCTCCATATCATTCCAATGTTACAGATGTCCCTGAAGGGACAAAGTTCAAGTATAGAAATCAAGATCTTTAGACAGAAACTTGCAATTCCTCTTTACACTGGAAATTATTTCAAATTAATGAAAAATAATTGAATCAGTAAGCCCAGTATAGGCACCTCCCTTAGTACCTGTTTCAAAATCCATTATTCCCCAAAGGGAATCATAGCAAAACAAATGCAAGGAACTGTATTCATCTCAAAAATGATGGTAGAAGTCCCGTGGAGCACACACACACACACACCCACACAGAGAGGAATAGTTGCCGCAGGCTGACTCTAAAGCTGATCAAATTAGCTACATTTCTAGCAGAAAGTTATCTACTGACTAGATTAAATTGGTTCACGCATTGCCTCTCATTTGCATAATATGCATACAAGGTTTCATAGTTGAACATCCTATCACACAAAGTTTGAACAAATTCAGTAACAGCAACATAAATTTCAAACCATAATGTGAGGATGAATGCTCTGTGATCTTTAACTTCCAGAGGCAGGAGCTAAGATGACGGTTGCATAACGATAAAAATGAACTAAACACGAAATAGCTAACAATTACCTACAAAGGAGGGATCTGAAAGAGATCAACTTTCAGGGCTCTCAATGAGGCTCAACCTGTGAAATGCTGAATAAAAAGATTGATAGATAAGGACAAGAAGAGTATAAACCAACCTGTTAGGAGAAACTGCAAAGCCTTTGGAATTTATCCTGAGATGTAGGGGCACCATTATCTTAGTATTCCTTTTTTATTGGTAACCTGTACCTGGCATGGAAGAACAAGACACCCACATTACTGCAAGATTATAAAAGAATGGAGGTCCAGCCTAGGTAGCTTTATACCCAATAAGAAAATGTAAAGAGAGTGTTACACAATAACCCAGTGCTACAATTTTTATTGTTTTGATGTTCTTGACCTTGATGCCAAGCTTAATGAGAATTATACTCAGTCTGGAGAAGCAAACTTAAACAAATCTAAAGTATGGGCTGTCCTGTCTGGAGATCCATCACAATAGTGGCCCATTGATACTTTCAAAGCCATTCAAAAACTTTAAGAAAAATGTATTTCAGTTCATAAGAGTCATGTCATAATGGGATCTGATGTATGCAACGTTACCCTCTCTGTGAATAGACAGTTTTCACGACTTAACTCCATAATCCAAAGACCTAGACTAAAGGCACAACCTTACCACAACACCAAGAATTGCTTTCACTTCCAAAAGCTTTCACTTTTGGATAATTATTGATGTGGCAACTTCTGATCCAACCTGGTTAACCAGAATGAACCATTTTAATTAGGGGGCAAGCAATTTACATTTCTCAATTAGATTCAAACCATTTGCATTGATCATTCAAACCTGGCAACATATCACATAATCTCCCACTATATATGGACAAGGAACAGAAAGCTGTCCATCAAGACTTCAAAAAAATATCAAAGGCTGCAGAGCAAGGTAGTTGTTACATTTTTAAATTTCTATAAAGCACTATAACAGAACAGGTGTGTGATCAAAACCCATTTAAAAAATGCAAGAGAACTAGAGGAAACATAACAGAAAAAAGAGAGAATCAATTTTGGATATTTTACAGCTATGCAGTACCAGAACAGCCATGATTCAAGGGAAGAAAGAAATGGGTCTGTAACAAAAAGAAAAAGAACAAGAAAAGCAGGTGATGTAGGCCGTAGACCCTTTTATTCCTTAATTTTCTCTGAAGACTTGTACAGATGAGCCCACAACTTTTGTCAGAAGCACTAAACATTGTATCTGAAATATTAGTTAAATTTCATGTTCAATAATAAAACTTATATTTAACAATCCGGGCCATGCATATAGAGAAACCAGGAGTCAAGAACCCTTCAAAAATTGCAGAAAAGAAATGAAGCAATAATGGAGGTGTAGATGATACAAAGAACCATGAGAGAGAAGGAGAGGTGTGGGAAAGCTTTCAGCTGGCAGGGAAAAAAACATTAAGTTTAATCCATGTTAATCAAACGCTTAGGAATGGTCCATAAATTACATACTTAAGCTCTAACAATATTTGCGTAAATGGCTATTCCCTTGTTCGTTGTCTTTTGAACATAAACAATTCTCGTGTTCAAACACATAATTTTGTGGTTAATTATATAAGTTTGAGAAATTCCATGGTTAATTATAGAAGTTGCATTATACAAGCTGAACAATGCATATGGATAAAGCTAGGAGCCAAGAACCTTTCAATAAAAAGTTTGAAAAGAAATGAAGCAATAATTGCAATATTTCTTGATAGGAAAGCAATAATTGCTATATAAATCATACAAAGGACCATGAGAGAGAAAGATAGGTGAGGGAGGAAGCTTTGAGTGAAGATAATGTATGAGAAAGATACGGATGTCTAGCAGGAAAAAGAATAATTATTGAGTTTAGTCCATGTTAATCAAAGGCTTAGGGGAGGGTGGATTAGTCACATACTAATCTTTGAAAATACTTGTGTAACACTTGGCTATTCTCTAGTTCAAACACACACTATTGCGGGTTACTAGTTAAACCAATAATTCTCAAAAGGCCTAGCTTCCAACCTATACATTAGTATTATGCCTTCACTCCCTAACCTGCCCAAATGAAAGTGTAAAAAAAAAGGCAATACACACTCCATTGTTTATCGGATAGGGGTATAACACCCCCCCCCCCCCCCTTTTTCCCTCTTTTTAAGCTTTGTTTTTTTCTATCTATTCGTCATCCTTGTCTAAACATAAACATTTAATGGCTTCATTCACTGAGGTCACCTCAAGGAGAGAATATGATTTTTCTGTTTCTATATCAGAAAATTTCCTAAAGATAAGGACCCCATGATAAGAAGGGACTCCAATGTTTCTGTTCTCCAACTGAAGCAACCTCTCTCTTTTTGGACATGTCGAATGATAAATCACAAGACTGAGTGGCAATTTTCACTATACAAAAATGCTTGCCAATGGTGTCCTTAGTGCAAGGTGCTTTAACTTCAAACAATATGAATAGAAATAATATTTGCAGGAACTGTAACGTAACCAATAAACAAAGAAGAGGAACTATGTTATTTCATACTCTTATGCTTTGCTTCTTTAGCACATTGTAACTATGCTTTTTCCCTCTTTTCTGGGGATTTACCAGCCCTCTTTTTCTCATTTTTCCTCTCTTCAATAACCTCTCTCTCTCCATGTGGGAGTGTGGCTTTTTGTGTAGGAGTGTGTGCTTAACAAGTCCTTTCCCTGTTTCTCAGCCCCTACACTGTGCCAGTACGCTAATAAAATAATTGGAAAACACTGTTAGATTTTGCATTAGATTCTTGATAATGAGTCTCACCTTCAATTGAAATGGATGTGCTAGGTTTTCTGAGAGGAGGGCTTAGGAATTATTGGCAAATATTGGGTGTTCATCAACCCGATCTCAGCTGCCCAACATAGATTCTTGCTCGATGGCTCAGGCTTACAAACCTTCTAACCAAAATTGAACTCTTTTTTTTTATTTTAAGTTCAAGGTGTTTCAACCATCAACTAATTTACATGTACCTCAATTAATCTCCTCCCCGATCAAATTAAAAGTGAGTTATCCACGCTGAAACTAAGATAGTCACGAGAGAAACATTCCTCGTGGCCTAATCCCAAGATCTGGCAGATCATTCGCGCCAAAACTAAGATATTTATAAAAAAATACATTATTCATAATCTAACTTCAAATAATTATCAAAATTCAAACTTAAAACGTCTGAATTTATAATTCATTCATATTAACACTTTAACTACTCTTCTCCTCGACAAAAAATTCCAAATATTTAACCATAGAACCTAATAATCAATATTAGGTATAACAAACCATAAGTTTTCATTTCTCCATAGAACCTAATAATCAATATTAGGTATAACAAACCATAAGTTTTCATTTCTCCAAAATCTATATTAGAGAGAGAGATCGAAGGAAAAGTTAATTAAATCGGAAACAATTTGGAGATAAGCTTGGAATTGTGCATCTTTCAAATGTAAGTTTATTTTTTTATGAAAAAAATATAATAATTTATAATTAGAAATCTATTCACACCGAGACATTAGCCATCAGCGTCGGGTTGTTTACAAATTTGGAAGGCCTTGTCATGGGGCATACACAGTTGCTGATCACTAGTCATTGTATGGGTAACCACTGTTGGAGTCTTGTACAATGAACATAGCTGCAGAAGAAATGCCCCCGAAACTATCAAGCTTTCAACCAGCAAGCAACAAGAACATAAACATAGCTCAATGCAATCAACAAAAAGAAACGTAGCAGTGGAGTAAAATATCCATATATTTGAAAGATTCCGAGAAAGGGAAGAACTCCGAACTAAAACTCGAAATGATGAGCCCAGCAAAATGCCCAAAAATTTAGAAAAACCAAACAAACTTCTCTCATAAGGTACCATGATCCCAGAAAACAAAGTCAAGATGTAACTGATAAACAATAGCAAAATTTCTTCAGCAACCTAAGCCTTGAGTCGTCCAAAAAACTTCGCCTTCTCCTCTGTTGTCTGGAAACGACCATGGCCAAACTTAGAGGATGTGTCGATGAACTTAAGTTTGATCTCCTCCAATGCAACCCTAGATGTCTGGTTCAACAATGTCTGCCTCAAGGTGACAACACGCTTCTTTGGTCCCACACAGCATCCCTTTATCAGCAGATAATCATCTTTCACAACCCCATAATGAGGGAAACCTCCCATTGGTGTAATATCCTTCTCAGTTCTGCAAAGAAAACAGACATTAGCATAAACTAAATAGTATCACAATGGGCCGCTTGAAACTTTACAATGTGGATATCTCATCAAAGAAACATCTGATCTGATTAGGAGTCCAGAAAAATCAGGCAGATCTTCTAATTTACCATACATGTAATCCATAAAAGTTGAAGCCATGAGGAATGCAATTGAAGTTACATATTGGGGGCTCATTCCAATGATTCCTAAATGAGCTAATAGATTCGTGAAGAACAACTACTATTCAGTTTATATAAAAATTAGATAGTCCAGATCATTCCCTAGTTCAAGTCAGGAACTCAGGGAAGATTACAGTACATTACAAGTCCAAAATAATATAAAGCTACTCAAAAATAAACCTTCTTTCACACAAGATATGATTTTAACTGGCTACTACAGTTTAGATCCGCATGAGAAACCCCGTGAAAATGTAGAGAAAAATCCTAAAACATGAAGAACATACAACTTGAGAAAGAAAAATCGCATAACCTGTCAAACTCGGTGATAGCAGAATGAGACTCCTGACCCGCCTTGCCCAGCCTGTAAATTTTCTTGTTCATCTCAGTGCGATGATGGTAACCATTTTGCCCAGCCCTCGCAACAGTGAATGAAACCCTAGCTGGATGCCAGGCACCGATACAGGCAACCTTACGAAGCCCACGGTGGGTCTTGCGAGGGAGGCGGGTTACACCCCATCGGGTCACCACACCCTCATAGCCCTTACCCTTGGTAACTCCAATAATGTCTATCATCTCATCTTTCTGGAATACAGCATCAATAGGAATCTGCTTCTCAAAAAAGCTGTAAGCATAATCAACCTTCTTAGCAATGTCCCCGCCATTCACCTGAATCTCCATCAGGTGGGCCTTTTTCTGCTTCAGGCCTTTCATCTTTCTAATCTACAAAATCCATATGCATCAAAGAAAAGTCACATGGTAAACTAAAGTCAGCCACAGCATGGTACTCTACAAGATTGTTCGCTTCAGTCGGACACCATCACAAGAGACAAATAAGGGTATGAACCCAACATAAGTAGCTCCTATTATTATGCGGCCAAGCACCTCCCTTGATTCTTAAACTGGCTTTCTCAACAACTCTAAAACTTCTTAATAAATAAGAGAAACCTGAGGGGAAAGACTATTAAAGCAAATCTATATAAGAAAATACCTGGGTATGAGCCAAAACACGAATGACGGTACAATACTTCTTCATTTTCTCCAACTGTGCCTGAACGTCCTTTTTCCCTTCCTCAGATTCATACTTCTTTGAGTAATTGGTGAAAGCCTTTTTCTTGGACTTGCACCAGTTCTTGTAGAATCTCCTCTTCAACTCCTCATTAAGATGCTGGGCCCATACAGTATTCAGAGAGCGTAGACCACGGGGTGTTTTGACATATCCAACAACCCCAACAACAAACATTGGTGGCGTTTCTACAATCGTTACTGCCTCACACGTCTCCTTCTTATGGAGCTCTGGAGAAATGGACTTTGTAAGTAATAAGTGATACATACAGATAAAGCAGGTGCAAGTTAAAAATGAAGGCAAGATGATTGCTTTTAATTATTTCTACAGTCTGGTGCAAATAGTTGGCAAAAAAAAAAAAATGGAAACAAGAGAAATCTGAAGCCATCAAACAATACAATGTAAGGAGAACATAAGTTTGCAACTTGGGAGGTGAAACCCAGGGAAATTATATTGTAACATGAACTATATGCTTTTACATGACGAAGGAAAATGCTGGTGAATACTATATTCCGTATGTTCAAAATTAATATAATATCTCACTTTTTCCCTCGGGTACTCAATGGTGGCTTATGCATAAACATCACTGGCTAAGATCTGTAGATGAGAAGAAACTCACTTGACCCAGGTTTTTCAACGTCTCTAACAATATGAGTCATCCCAGCTTTATATCCTAGGAAAGCAGTTAACCTGCAAGGTTTTGCCGGATCATCTTTGGGGAACGACTTCACTGCACAAATATCAGAGGAGATAAACATCAAGAACCAAGGACAACCACATAAAAATACATACATTGACGAGTGAGGAATGGACTGAAGAGAAAAGAAACGAAGAACACATTGGTAAAGGAATTACAACGCTAGCTGGATGGTAAAACTTTATTAATCAGATCCAAAAAAATAATTCACTTTATGTGTCAATAATCCTTAATAATGCAATAAGTTAGAAGAAACAATGATATACGTCTCAAGCATAGAGAAATGCTATAAACGTGAGCCTCAGCTTTCCCCCATTTCCATTGGTTGACAAACTTAAGCCCCAGTTTTGACAAAGTTCTTGCAGATGAGTACAGAGCCTGACAATTCTCAACACAACTATACCCATTAATGGCTGTCATTGAATGGGCTTCAACGACTAAATAAAAAGTCTGGGTCATAAATAAGAGCCAAGTACAAGTGACAAAACAAGAGACCAGGAACTGACAAAGAGCTCCAAGAGTATAGACATTAATGAAGCTCCTCAGGTTTCAAAAGTAGCCTTTACCCAAAAAGAATCCTCAGAAATCTAAGCAAAAATTTCTCTTTTGCAAGATTATTCTAAAAAACAAACCGTAAATAACTGCAGGCCAGGGACGAAAAATCTGTGATGATACAAAAGATAAATTTAAGCAAAAGAACACCGTTGTGTCTAAGGATTCTCGCCAAAAGGACAGAACATCTCAACAAAGAGACACATGATCATCAATTTTTTTGATAGATGACAAAAGATCATCAATCATGACACAATATAAAATCCTTTGACAATACCAATAAGGAAATAATAAAGGTTGAAGAACAATGCCAACTAAAGTATATTAAGACAAAAAAAACATTATAGACCTTTTCCACGGTGACGGGCAGCTCTTTTTCTCGGGAGAAATCCTAAAGAGCCATGTCTTGGGTGCTCAAACTTGCGATGAGACATGCTGCCTTCAATATTCCTGCAAACCTCAAGAACCTCATTTCTTTTTTTTCCCACCAGAATGACATGTAAAAACTTCTGTATAGATTAGTATATATATCTAAGTCTGCGTAAATTATATAGTAGGCAGATAAATTGCGTAACTAAACTTTTAGAGGGCTTCGAAAAAAAATCAAGTCCATGTACATGTAATATATGTCCAGCATATGAATCTATGCAGAACAAGGTGACAAGCCTGGTATGCTAGAATAAACACTAGCAAGAATCATAATAGAACGATAGGATTCATTATATATGTTCAATTTAATATATATCATAAATAAAGAGACAACTTTAGTTCAGTCACATAGAAGAACAAAAAACCTTTCTTCAAAATAACAAACCCAACACTTATTTTCTACATTATTGACAAGTTTCTCACAAACTGTATATTCCTAGGTAACCATTTCAATGAAAACTATAAATCATAACATTTTAACGATTTTGTTAAGTGTTATGCTGAGACCTCATATTTAAAAATACTAACAGCATGAAGAATTTCAAGAAAATAGTATTTTAAAATAACTCTTGAATATACACTTATCGAAAGTAACGATACAAAACTGATGTTAATTGCAAATTGGGTTCAATCATTTGAACAAAAATAAAAAATACACCTTGACCAGCAAAACATGTGATCTCACCACCAGTTCCAGGCTTTCACCAAATGAAAGAAAAGATCCTCCCCAAACCAAAGGCCTATGGCACATTCTCATGCCAATTCTCGAGCTCATTGGTGTTTCTTCCCAAAACCCAATATCAGGATTTTGGCAAAAGAGCCCCTTCGAGACTCCAGCCTTGATTACTTGCGTTGTTTTTAGGGAGGCTATATTCAATCATCCCAAGGAAAGGAGCGACATCAACATGCATACCAGAGCAAGGGCACTTAATTTCAAATCCAAAACAATTAAACCCATGTCTAAGAACTCCAAAAAGTTGGAAAAAAAATGAATAAAAAAAAAGAGCAAACTGTAGCTAACAAACTCCAAAGCATCTTATTTTGTGCCAAATGAAAACACTAAGCATGTTTTAATCAAGTATATGAGACATATAAGTATAAAATACCTAAGTTTACAACATAATATCACCTTCAGAATAAGTGTAATTTGTATTATGGATCAGATCTGAGTAATTTGCAAGTAAATCTCACCAAACTCAATTCGTTTGCCGAGAAAATGCACAAAAAAACCCTTCAAAAGCGCGCACACAGCTTTCTCGGAATCGAAAGTGTAGTAATCACCTAAAAGCAATCGATTTTACTCGGAAAAATGAAAAAAATCGAAAGACATTACCTTGAGATCTAATGGCGATAAAGAAATACAGAGAGCAGAAAATGAGCCTCTATCCGAACGGCAAGCACCGCTATCAGTCTTGATGTAAAAGCCGAAAGTAGGGTTCGAGGGCATTATAAAGCGTTTCTTAGGATGTTTCGACGGTTAGGATCATTTTGGATGGTTTACGGTAACCGTTGGATTAGATCGTTGCTTATTCTAGGGTTTTGAGAGCCTTCGTTTTTAAGCTGAGATTTTTGGAAGTCGGTATACTTAATTAGATTTATTCAGTAAAATGTACATATTAAAAAATATTTGGAAAAAATATACACTAGTTATATACAAAGACATAAATACTCATTTTAGAAAAAGTGGTGCATTAAATATCTCCTAGTTTTATGGGAGAACTTTAATATTTAATGCACATTGATTTATATGTATTTGTTAATATATATATATATATATATATAAATACAAGTATGTATGTATATATATAAATACAAGTATGTATGTAGATATAAATATAAATATTTATACAAGTATGTATATACGTGTAAAGTATAACATTGAAAGTGGAAAGTGTAAAGTATTACTTTATGTCTCACCTTACTTAATGAAAAGTATAAAATGTTACATGTTAACATTGAAAGTGTAACTCATTCACATTTTCTCAATTAATTAGTTTTTTTAGTGTAAGATGAAACATGTATATTCTGTTTGTGTAACACTTTAGATAATGTCTTCCCTTACCTAATATAAATAGTTTGTTACATTGTTATTGCTACACTGTTATTGTTACTTTCAATATTACCCTATAACACTTTAGGTGTGTTTGAATGGTTGGATAAAGGGCGATACACCAAGTTGGATTGGATAAATAAGGTGTGGACCCCATTTATCCATGCTTTGGCAATGCAAGGAGAGGTTGGATATTCGTTGCTTTTGAAAAACTACGGCCGTAGTTTTTGAGGCTCTTAATCCCCTCTCATCTGGACAAACTTTTCCCATCTAAACTTTGGGATTCATGGCGAGCCGAGAGGATTGCTATTAGGTTTTACCATTTCACCCTTACCACCACAAAGATTAGGATTTTTTAACATCTTCCCCTCATTTTCTACTGGTCCCCATCCAAGAACGGCACGAAGAACCCAGTTGGCGAATGTATGGTTTTCTATTTATCTCTCTCTCTCTCTCTCTCAGACAGTACCGTTTTCTGGGATTTTCCAAGAAAACCAAGAATCCACCAAAGAAAAGATGTGGGTTTGTAGGATTTATACTGGTTTGAGTTGTGGGTTTGTACAATGGACCAATAATCTGGAAAATTGGTTGAGTTCTTGCTTCTAACCGAGGTCATGTAGACGGACATGGCCTGTAAATTGCTTGAGTTCTGATTTCAGAATGGTCATTTATTTTGATAGTTTTTATTGTGTAAACCCTTATTTTCTTTCATATAAAAGAATGTGGTTTTTTGGGAAATCATACTTGTAAATTATCTTACTCACAAATTTGGTTTATTTTTCTTCTATCCATTTTCCAATTTCTGGCTTTAAGTTTGCTTTGCCCGCAATACAAAATCAATTCGTCTGTGCAAGGCAGGCAAGGACCTTTGATCCTGCCTCACCTTCAAACGCAAATCAAGAGGAAGTTGATTAGGTATTGGGTGGTGTAATGGTCAGCTGATCAAGGATGTTGGTGATCTCTGTATCAGGAGCTGTTTGGGGGCCATTTAAAGAGTTAGATGCTGCATTGTGAAGTCCAGAAAATGCACAAATGCAATCAAAAATGGTTTTGGTCCTCTTGAAGGTTAAAAGGAATCTCTAATCCTCTGACCCAGTAGCTAGGCCAGTATACACTCCCATAAGTGTACCATTAAGGTCTAGATACACAGAATTCAAACAAACAGAGAATGATGAATTCACTCTGTAACACCCCCCCCACTACCCAACAAGATATTGTCCTATTTGGCACAGGGTCACGGAACACCGTTCTCCTCCCCTGCCCTCAAGGGTTTGTTCCTCCCAGGGGTTCCCTGGAAAAAGGCCTCTTGCAAGGTAAGGGCTGAAGGCTTACTTATAAGCCCAGCAACTCCCCCCTCCGTAACCGATGTGGGATACCAGGATCTCACAATCCACCCCCCTCAGGGCTGCACGTCCCCGTGCAGCTAGGTCACGGACTACCGTTCTCCTCCCTCCTACACGCTGACCCGTGCAGGGCCCCACACTCGGCACCGCCAAGGGGTCGGCTCTGATACCATTTGTAACACCCCCCCCACTACCCAGCAAGATATTGTCCTATTTGGCACAGGGTCACGGAACACCGTTCTCCTCCCCTGCCCTCAAGGGTTTGTTCCTCCCAGGGGTTCCCTGGGAAAAGGCCTCTTGCAAGGTAAGGGCTGAAGGCTTACTTATAAGAGCATGTTCCTCCTGAGTCTGTGAGTAGATCAATATGTCATCAATGAACACAATGACAAATTGATCGAGGTAAGGCCGGAAGATTCTGTGCATCAAATCCATGAATGCTGCGGGGGCGTTAGTCAATCCGAACGGCATCACCGTATATTCGAAATGACCATAACGGGTACGGAAAGCAGTCTTAGGAATATCCTCCTCCTTAATTCGCAGCTGATGATATCCTGTGCGAAGATCAATCTTGGAGTAATACTTCGAACCCTTCAACTGATCAAATAAGTCATCAATTCTCGGCAACGGATACTTATTCTTCACGGTAACCCGATTTAACCTCCGATAATCCGTGCACAACCGTAGGGTCTCATCCGTTTTCTTCACAAAGAGGACTGGGGCTCCCCAAGGTGAAGTGCTTAGACGGATAAACCCAATCGCTAACAAGTGATCCAATTGCTTCCTTAGCTCCTTCAACTCCAAAGGTGCCATCCGGTAGGGAGCAATGGACATAGGTTCGGTTCCAGGATAGAGTTCGATCTCGAACTCAATTTCCCTATGTGGCGGTAATCCGGGTAATTCCTCGGGAAAAACATCTGAAAACTCCGATACAATTTGCATTACATCCGTATGAATTTTATCCCGGTTTTCTCCCATCAAGCTAGCTAAGAAACTCAAATGACTTCCCGCTTTCGCTTTTAAGAATCTACTACCCGTCGTAGGGAATGGATGAGAAGAATCTCGGTTATTAATAAAACTGAAAACGACTCCTCCCGGTAACTGAAATGTAATCCGTTTGCGGAAACAATCCATTACCGCCCGGAAAGCGGACAACAAGTCCATTCCGAAAATCACATCATACCCCTTCATTTCTAAAGCAATCAAGTCCACAATTAATTCGTGCTCCCCAATACGAAGCACACAACCCTTGCAAACTCGGCTAGTACCCAACTGTTCTCCCGTAGGCAAGTCAACCGTCAAGGCATGCTCTAACTTCTCGAAACCCAATCCCAAATTCATAGCATATGCAGTACGTATAAAAGAATGAGTAGCACCGGGATCGAATAAGATTCGGGCCCAAGAATTATAGAGGAGAATTATACCATCAACAATTGCGTTGGAGGCATCCTCCTCCGGTTGGGTCAAGGCAAAGACTCTCCTCTGAGTGGCGCCACCTGGGGCTGGAGCTCCTACAGGCCTCTGCTGCTGTAGTGGCTTATTTGCAGCCACTTGTCTTGTCACCTGGTTGTCTCTCGGTTTGAGAGATGGGCAATTGTGTCTGAAGTGCCCCACTCCTCCACATGCGAAGCACTGACGGGGGTCGGTGGCTGTCCTCCCCGATACGCCTCCTGCTCCTCGACCCATCTGGGGTCTCTGTCCCCCTGCCTGATCCGAGCGACGATAGGGTGGTAGAGTTGCAATGCCTAGATTCGGAACTCGATTTGATTAGAGTCCGATTGGGGAATGGAGAAGCTATTAAAGGATGGTCTTGGAAGAATGGAGAGTTGAGACATGGGGAGAAGCTATGTGTTCCCGATGATTCGTCCTTAAAGGAGGAGATACTTGGAGAGTGTCATCGCTCCAAGTTTGCTATCCACCCCGGTAGCACAAAGATGTATAGGGACATGAAGCGTCAATACTGGTGGAGGGGAATGAAGCGAGATGTGGCCAAATATGTGGCAAAATGTGCGGTCTGTCAGCAGGTGAAGATTGAGCATCAAAGGCCAGGAGGAGTCCTACAGTCCTTGCCTATTCCCAAGTGGAAATGGGATCACATTACTATGGACTTCGTGTCGGGTTTACCACGGACGTCGCGCGGGCATAATGCAGTGTGGGTCATTGTGGATAGACTCACCAAGTCTGCTCACTTTTTGAGTATGAAGACCACGGATACATTCGAGACCTTGAGCCAGTTATATATCCGTGAGATAGTGCGGTTACATGGAGTTCCGCTTTCTATTGTGTCGGATTGTGACTCTCGGTTTGTGGCGCGATTTTGGCAAAGTCTACAACAAGCCATGGGGACAGAGTTACATTTCAGTACCGCGTTCCATCCCCAAACAGATGGCCAATCTGAGAGGGTGATACAGATTGTGGAAGATATGCTACGTGCATGTGCGTTGGACTTCAAGGGGAGTTGGAATGACCATTTGCCGTTGGTGGAGTTCACGTATAACAACAGCTATCAGGCAAGCATTGGGATGGCACCGTATGAAGCATTGTATGGAAGACCGTGTAGATCCCCGACGTGTTGGTTAGAAGCGGGCGAGAGTAGCTTGTTTGGGCCAGAGATTGTTCGGGAGACTACAGAGAAAATTCAGCTCATCCGGGAAAGACTACGCACGGCACAGAGTAGACAGAAAAGCTATGCGGATCGAAGACGAAGACCATTAGAATTCCAAGAGGGGGACTATGTATTCCTTAAGGTGTCCCCCAAGAAGGGAGTATTTCGATTTGGCAAGAAAGGGAAATTAGCACCAAGATATACCGGACCCTTTGAAGTGATCAAAGTTGTGGGCAAAGTAGCATATCAGTTGCGGTTACCAATTCAGTTGTCTGGAGTACACGACGTATTTCACGTGTCCATGTTGAGAAAGTGTCAATCGGATGCAACGCCGGTCGTAGACTTGGAAGACATTGAGATTCAAGACGGAGCAACCTATGAAGAACAACCGGTGAAGATTCTT